GGGGGTTCTGAATATTTTTGGGACAGCTGAATATAAAATACTTCCAACACTTATAACAAAGTGATAAAGAAGCAAATTATTTATATAATGCCGACCACTGTATAGCTCAAGAGTTTCATATTTCATACAAATAAAGCAAAACTGGTCATTCCATACTCAAAATACAAGGGCACTCTGAAGCTGTTCCTTATTACAAAATTATGGGGAGTTTATCCATCTGACTCGACGTTCACAACTTCATACTATGCAGATCTTCTGGAGAGCTGGCGTAAGGTGACAAGAAAGAACGAAGACATTTCTCTGCTCTATATCGCCTACCAGACTGGCATGATGGCCTCGTCCATCCTGACACCAGGGACAATCTTCATGCTTATTGTTGGAGCTATTACTACGGCATATCCAGGTAATCTACATTATATTTCTTTCAGCAATTTGGCTAAACTTATTAAAATCGGGGTGATTAGATACTGGCAAAGGCTCGACGAAAGGGGCAATTTGCTCGCAAGGAAGCCAAACAATGTGGGCAAAATAGTTATGTACATCATTCTTTAAACTGGAAAAGAATGGAGGATTTTTAAAAAAATCTAAGAACAAAGCAAATGTCTCTAGTTTTGTGCATACAATTCATGAGAGGTTTTTGAGGCAGAAAAGGATTTCTTCCACCCTGAGCTGGGAATTGTTAAAGGGACATAACTATGTATTTGTTGAGTTTTTTTTTTTTTACATTTAAGTCATGAGTACATTTCGCAATGGAGCAGTTGGAGTGCAAACTTGTTAATTATTATTAAGTGGTTGGGTTTTTTCCAAAACTTTATTTCGTTCTTTTTTATTTTGATAACTAAAGGTTCCTTTCAAAGTCTCCTGAATTATAGCTCGTAAAGACTGGTATGAAATTAGTTTTATTTCATTCTTCTAAAATTCTTCAGAGCGTAGGCCTACTCTTTGTCAAACACAAAATGAATCATGGTGAAATTCGTGGTGGTGTCATTTCGTGTTATTCCTGTTGTCCCCAGAAATCCCGCTGTTTGGCAGTCTCATTCTGAACCTGATCCCAGTTATCATATTTGTTGCCCTCGTCTTTATGGCCCAAAGTAATACACAGGTAATGGTGGTATTACCCCTTTTGGCACTTTATTGTAGCGTAAGAGAAACATTCAATACCTATTAATTAATGAAGTCTCTTTTTGATAAAGAAACAGATTATAATAAAAAAAAAAAAAAAAAAAAAAGATAACACACTCTCTTAATTACTTTAGTTCCGTGTTACAAGCTTAACACGCATACCTCATGATCTCTCAAATTCACTCCATAAAACAATAGTAACAATAACAACAAACACTCGCAGCAAGAGAAACAATTGCAACAACAACTAACTGTAACAATGAAACCAACAATAATACACCTACTACACAAAAAAACAACCAGTTCATGCTACCCCTCCTTTGAAATAGTATGATTTAGTGCCCTTTAATAAATGAGCATACCGACGTCTGTAGTGAGCTGTAGCATCGCACGCAGGAGGTTCCGATTCGATTTCCGAGTTGGGAGAATTTCAGTTGGATATTTTGGTAATTAGATTTGAATGCTGTAATCCCCCTTAGCTGGGTTGGGTTAGCAGTGTCGAGGCCTAGATCTAAATAATCAATAATAATGTACTGATTTTTCCCGGGGGAAGAGAAAGGGCGGGTAAAACACCTACATTATTTATTTTAGTGTTTGCACGTCCGTCCTGCTCACTATTCCCCTTTCTCCTCCCCCCCACCCCCCGGCCCCATTTTCTAGCTCACGTTCGCAGCAATAGTGTCAATCATCTACTCGCTTCTCATGATGATAGTTCTGGCGGGGCTGGTCAAGCAGATGGCCGATTACGGATTCTGCTCTGTGACCACCATCTTCATGGTCACTGTCATCGGCATTTTTGCTTCGGCAGCGTTGCTACATCCGCAGGTGAGAAAATGTTCTCTTTGTTTTAGTAGAGGTTCTACGGCGTTCGCAACTACATAAGGTCATATGAGCGCCAGGATATTAGAGGTGTTACAAGAGAGTAACAAACATAAAAAAGAAAAAGGGGAGATAAGGACTTTATAGATGCTGATAGGAAAAAAGAAGCAAACCACACCAGAGCACCCGCCAACCACTCACATTTGTTCTCTCTGAGAACAGTTAAGAATAATAAATAACATTTGCTTAGTGTATACCAATGCTCGACACTTTACAATACATTATTACCTCATCGTACACTAGAACATTCAGAAAAATTTTCATACGGAAGCATACAAAGCTAGCCAATAAACAGTGAAATTTGAACATTTAATTTTATAGACTCCATTTCACCTTGTGGATGTATACACCTGGCGGACTTCTCTCTTGGTTTCAGCAATTTTTTTATTCTTGAAGCTATTTATATATATATATAATATATATATATATATATATATAAGTAGAGAGAGACAGACAAACAGCTAGATAGATAGATAGATAGATAGATAGATAGATAGATAGATAGATAGATAGATAGATAGATAGATAGATAGATAGATACATAGATAGATAGATAGATAGATAGATAGATAGATAGATAGATAGATAGATAGATAGATAGATAGATAGGTAGGTAGGTAGGTAGATAGATAGATAGATAGATAGTTCTCAACCTTTTCACCCCCCCCCCCTTTCAGGAATTTGTCTGCATCCTGCATGGCCCGCTGTACTTCGTGTCTGTGCCGAGTATGTCTGTCTTGCTCATCATCTACTCTCTGGGCAATCTGCACGTGGTCTCCTGGGGTACCAGAGAAGCTGCCAAACCTCCCCCACCCCCGGGCCAGCGGCCTCCGGAAAAGAAACAGGGCACCCTTAAGAAATGGATGACCAAACTGTCTGGGGGAATTGACGTAGAGGAAGGCGTGAGAAGTCTTGGAAGCATTTTCAGGTCAGTATATCTGTAGTTTTCGTTCGTTTGTGTAAAGAGAAGCACGTTGACACAGTTAATAGTAATTTAATGCTAGGAAAAGTAAGACAGACATACTGAAACAACAAATGGAGAGTTGTTTTTTTTAAAGCAGGACCTACCGGTGGCGCCCTCCTACCACCGACGTAATTTTTGTATTACGGTATTATCATAACCAAAAACACATTTTAATAAACTATATTATCTGTACAAACCTGGATCTATTGGGGAGGGGGGAATGTTTAAATGTTGTATTGAAGTCCTCAGCTTAGGAAATCAAATGCAAATCTCTTGTATTGAGACTTTACATGTTTTTATTAAATACGTTTGTGATTTTCTATTGTCATAATTTTAAAATCACTTCATCAGTCCGTATTGTTGATTTGAATCATCAGTCTACAGATGAGATTCTTGCCGTTCACAATCAGGATAGCAGTTCGAGCTCCTAAACTTGCCTATTAAGGACTTATCACCTAGATTCTGAAAGTGCAAGTGGTCCTTATTGAAGACAACTTCTCTGGTGGGAGCCAATGAAGACAAGGCAAAATTGTTCCTCTCTCTCTCTCTCTCTCTCTCTCTCTCTCTCTCTCTCTCTCTCTCTCTCTCTCTCTCCCTCTCTCTCTCTCTCTCTCTCTCTTTCTTTCTCTCTCTCTCTCTCTCTCTCTTTCTTTCTCTCTCTCTCTCTCTCTTTCTTTCTCTCTCTCTTTCTTTCTCTCTCTCTCTCTCTCTCTCTTTCTTTCTTTCTCTCTCTCTCTCTCTCTCTCTCTCTCTCTCTCTCTCTACCTCCCTCTCTCTCTCTCCCTCTCTTTCTCTCTCTCTCTCTGTCTGTCTCTGTCTCTCTCTCTTTCTCTCTTTCTCTCTCTCTCTCTCTCTCTCTCTCTCTCTCTCTCTCTCTCTCCCATTCACATAAAGTTAGATTGAAGAAATAACCAAAAATCCTGCGTGTCCACTATATTTATATCATCCTGACTCACATGAACATTATCTTGACCTCTGACACCTCCAGCTGTGTGTGCTGCTCCACGACCGTTGCTGCTCAGCCTGTCACTCCCGCCAACTCACTCGCCCAACATATTATACAGGAACCAGAAGCTCCCGGAGCAAGCGCTGATGGGAACTCAACTCAAGGTTTGTTCACATGCTGTACTACAGTTTTAGAAGAGGTTTTACGGCGCTCGCAACTGCATAAAGTCATATGAGTGCCAGAATATTAGAAGTGTTACGAGAGAGTAACAAACATAAAAAAGAAGGGGAGATAAGGATGATAGATGTTTGATAGGAAAGAAGAAGCAAACCACACCAGAGCACCCACCAACCACCCACATGCTGTACTGTGCAAAATTGCTTGTTTGCGTTGATGCCTAAAGAGAGAAGTTGTTTCGTGTCGAGAAAGTAAGTTGTTGATTTACTTGATATATGTTTGTACTCCTGACAAGAATTTAAGCAGCTTTTCTAGCAATTTGATTATTTGAAAACAACCAAAAGCAGTTCCCACTGCTAAAACAAAACCCCAAAAGACGAACTAAAGCAAACAAAACCCTCCCCGCTCCTCCTAAAACGGAACAAGAACAAAACAAAATAAACCAAGCGAACACTAGCCCCCCCCCCCCCCCCCCCGAAAAAACAAACCTGAAACAAAGAAACTATGAACAAAAAAACAACATATGAAAAAACAAACAAACAAATAAACAAAACTCCAAAAAGTAATAAAAGCAAATAAGAGAGATATAGCAATTAAAAGAAACTGAGCATTTTCAGAAATACCAGAAAAGGGAACCCCTTCATTTAAAGCTAGAAACAACTGTAAGTCGCAAATTCAACTAAGTGTTCAGGGGGGATTTTAAAAAAGAAGAAAATTAATTAACACCTTCTCCTGTTGTCAATGCCAATGAAAACGTAACACCCTCTGTTTAGACCACTAATGAGACCACTTATAAGTCACTATCTATCAACTTGCCAAAACAACAAGAAACTAACACCGAAAGCGGTGAATCAGCCAAAATAAAAATTAAAAAAAAACAAATTCAGAAATAACACATAAACTCAAAACACAGTTAACTTCGACACATGGGGAGTAAAAAAACAACAACAACAACAACAAACTAATGAGCATTACGTCGGTAAGTTCCACGCTTATCTATCGTGTAAAATGGCAGCTTGAACTTTGTGCTTCAGAGAAAGTTGAGAATTGAGATTGTTTCAGAATGCATATCTGGTCTGCCGGGATAATGATGGAAGGTTGAAAGTGCATGGAGCTTGCTATGGAAGAGCAAATGCTATTTACAATTGAATATTTTTAAAAAAGATTATTTTAAGTACATTTTGCAGTTGAACAGTAAATGTCATTAATTTATTGTCCTTTATTTTTTTTAATCGATCATTTTAAATACGTTTTGCAAGACCAGCAAAATCCATTTGTATTATATCAATTTTTAAATCTATTATTATCAATGCATTTTTTTCAATTGTGTCATAAAATGCAGACCACGCCCCTGAGCCCGTGCGGCGTCCTCATTGGTTGGAGACTGTGGAGGCCGTGAGAGCCCCGGAGCTACCAGAAAAAGAGACAGCGTTTTGGAAAGAGCTCATTGGTCAATACCTGTATCCTATGGAGAAAGATGAACAGCACGAGAAAAAGGTATAGTCTGTAACTAATTAACAGATCCTTTTTTGACAAACTATACTATTTCATGGCATACACTTCTGTTTTAGTGTGTATTTCTATTGGGTACGGGTAAAATTATTTTGTTTCTCTACTCTCATTTTTTGATGCTCTCGGCCTGTATGTTTGTTTGTTTTTTCCTTTCTGACTCTCACTTCATCCATATTTTTTTCTTTGCCTGTGATTTTTTGTGTGCCTGTGATTCTCTCTCTTTTACTCTTCTCTCTCTCTCTCTCCCTCTCTCTCTCTCTCTCTCTCTCTCTCTCTCTCTCTCTCTCTCTCTCTCTCTCTCTCTTTCTCTTTCTCTTTCTCTCTCTCTCGGTTCGTCTATTTCGTAATGACATACCACAATGTTCCCGTTACCGAAAAAATGATGAAATCGCAAGCAAAGCTATAATATTAAGGGAGTGTCAGGAAATTAGGGCCGAAACACTTGCTTGAAGGGAGGGGGGGTGGGGGGGGGTTCTTCCTCTGAAGATCTCCTGCTGTCCACTCGCCCCACGAGTTTTCTCCTACTACATGTGGATGCATCACCCCCTCCCCTATTCCTCCCCGCCCCCTTATTCTCTTTAACAACCCTTTAAGGGGGGGAAAAGTGCACAAGAGGGTTTATGTATACCTAAAGTACAGTGCAAGTCAGATATTGGTGAAATCAACCTAGATTGTTATTCAACTACCTCATCGATCTTTCAAAGTGGTTGATTTTCCTCAATATGTAAACTTTGGCTTCACAAGCATTAGTAATGTATACCAAGAACATATTATTAATACCACACTAGATCCTTTTTGAGGCAACTCTAAGATCCGTCAAGATGAAGAGTTACCTGCTTTTTTAAAAATGTCAACAGTTTTGAGCTTTCAAAATGCAAAAGATTCCATATAGTTCAACTGAGTCATTTAGGCATAGTTTATGATTTGACCATCACATTCATACATAAATCTGACAAAACAATTTTAGTGACGAAAGAACAAGTTTGGAAATATCATTTTTTTATTTGAAAAAAAAGGTGTTTTCTCTACCTTGTAGCATATTATAGTACAAACCTGGTTGGTAGCCTATAGCTTTGAAAGCAAAAAAGTAGATACACTTTTGCTACACGTATAAACCACTCTAATAGGTCTAATAAGTATCAAGCAAATATTAATGCAGCGCACACAATAAAAATAATAAATGTATTTTGGTAAACAAAATTTCAAGTAATTCAGATCAATGTGTTAAATAGATCAATAACACAAACACGTTATTTGACCGTTTAGATACAAACTAGTGTTATGACTGGCACTTTTAAAGGTAGAAAAGTACACGCAAAACTTGCTTATCTTATTTTCATTCAATGATTTATGATTTCTCTCTGGCGTATATATTTTTTCCAGGTGAAGGAAGATCTGCTGGAACTTCGTAACAAGACGTGTCTTGCATTCTTCCTGATCAACAGTTTCTTTGTCGCTCTTGTGTTGATGCTGCAGCAAGTTGCTCAGGAAACACCCAACCTTTCCATTGAGATCGACTGTCACATAGATGTGAGCCTGCCATTATTTATGGAAGAAAGCAAGACTGTGTGTGTGTGTGTGTGTGTGTGTGTGTGTATGTGTGTGTGTGTGTGTGTGTGAGAAAGAGAGAGAGAGAGAGAGAGAGAGAGAGAGAGAGAGAGAGAGAGAGAGAGAGAGAGAGAGAGAGAGAGAGAGAGAGAGGCGTCAGTGGGTACATAATTATATTTTACTATTGTACATAGAAGAAGTGAGTTCGATTCACTCATAGAGAAGATATCTTTTATTGGAGTATCTCGACCCTTGTCAGTATCAGACAATGTTGTTTAATGTGTGTGCACTGAACACCTATCGAAAATGAAAGTTAAATTCGGGGTTCCTACCCCTTAAACAGTTGTCGCCTCAGAACTCTTTTGTCCAAAGTGCCTCTTTATATATATAGACTTCAATATAAGTTAAGATAACTTTCAAACACTCTGAGTGGTCTTCTTGGGTCGACCTGCACGTGGGCGTTTGTACTGATCCAGTGGGTTGATGGCGCTGCCTCAGGCTGACAATGACAGAGTGAGACACTGCAAGCCTACTGGCAACTTCTCGGGCTCCAACTTCATCCTGCAGTCATGCCACACTCTAGCACGATCAAAGTCTCTCAGTTTTCGTCTTGGTGGAATGGTGATGCGATACTGGATTTTTCGCAAACGGCGGCTTATATTGCCACCAAAGCGAGCATAGTTCGAGACCTATGTCCGTTTATGACGTGCACCAGAAATATAAACTGAAGAATGTCTGTGGTGTCACACACAAGTCGATAAAAAACAGCAAATTTGGCTAAAATTCCCCGAGGATTTCCTAGCTGCACGTGGTGGTTTTGCCCTTTTAGGAAACTCTGCGGTACGCATTGGTTACCCATTTACACTTTCAGAGCAAAACATTTTGAAACATTTCTTGCTGTCTTTTTTTAACGGATTTTAAAAAAAAATGAGGGCTGTCTGTAAAGGTGGTCCTTAACTTATGTTGAAATCTGTAGATTAATTACACTTAAGGCCCGGTTACCCGAAACGATAAATTGTACAAAAACTGGACGATCTACCGATTATACGATAAATCGTCAGGTGTAACCACAAAATTGTACAAAATTTGGACGATTGAACGATGGTTTGGAGACTCGGTCGAGAAATCAAGCACTGCTTGTTATTTTTCGTGCGATCACGGTCAAATTTGGGGGAGACGCGCTGTGACGTAGATTCACTTTGAAATTTGCTGCTGCGCAGAATTAAACTCAGGGCTCAATAAAAAAAAAAATTATAGTAGGTAAAAACTGTTTTCATATTCGGAATCAGCGTCTCAAAATAAGCATAAGCAAAGTTGCTCGCGGAGAACCTGGTTTGGAGCGTTACTTATATTTTAGCAATTTTATTATTTAGTTGATCGTCAATAATTGTGAAACTGTGCATCAAGGTCACTCGGTGCGTTGCACATCTGCAGTCAAGACATAGCTTCCAGTTCTACACACAACACGGTAGGCCTACAGTATGGCAACCCTTTTGTAAAGACACAGTTCTGCGATATCAAAATGTATAGGGAAAAGGGAGGGGGGGGGGGGGGCTTCTGTGATCTGGAGGTAGTGTTCGCCTTTCATTCATTAGGTCCAGAGCTCCAAACCTTCACATAGAGAGCAGGCAAATCGCTGACGTCGCAAAGAGACATGGTGGCTTTATGACGAGGAATCTCCTCAATCGAAAGAAAACTGGACGATAGATTGGAACGTGTAAACAGACAACGCAGTTCGATAAAACGGACAGTTCTCTCAAACGACGAATCTGATACTATTGATCGTTGCGTGTAAACGGGGCTTTAGGACAAATCAATAATTCTGACGCGACGCAGTGTTGAAATGACGTAAAACCCATGCCAAGTCATACCTAAATCCCAAAACAAAACAAAATAAATAACATACGCTTAAATCTCCTCTTTTTCCAGGGTTTTGAAGGCGAGGCCTTTGAGCCCATCTCGATGGCCTTCACCCTGGTGTTTGGCATCCTGTTAGCCCTGCAGTTTTTGGCCATGCTCGTGCATCGTCTTTCCACATTCCTTCACATCTCAGCTGCAACCAGCGTTAAAGAGATCTCTGGCACTAAAGTCCAGGGCGGTAAGTCTTGTGCATGCTTGTAACGTGATTGTAATTCATTGATTGTACATGTAATTACTGTTTCTTGCCTTCATCGACATACATTGTAATTCAGTTGTCTTAGTAGGCGGGCTGCCCCAAGTCTGCCTGTGAAGGCCAATTTAGTCTTCGTGCAACACCTCATCCCAACAGAGAGACATAACAATAAATCGATAAGTTGTATGCTTCCCATGAAATCTAGAATGTTTCTGAGTGTTCCAGTGGTCTACTAGGATAATGTAGTTGCAAAGCTCAGATTGCATTTTATAATGCAGGTGTTTTTAAAACCTCAATCTCATTGTGTTGCAAGTGCCGTTAAACACGTACTAAAACTAAACTAAAACCTCCATCGATACAATTTAGATGGTATTCTAGACGATTTTCAATGCTGTCTGGTCAGGGCTAACCCCAGATGAAACGAATGGAATATACTAGTAGAAATACCCAGACACCTCAATAGAAATTCTCCCAACCCAGGAATCGAACTCGGGTCTTCATTAAGCTACGGCAAAGCTCGCCCTTATAGCTACACCACAGACGCCGATGCAAAGAGCATGTTGCAGAGCACAGATAATCTAAATGCAATTACTGATTGATATTGTCATTATTGTTAATGTAATTGTTATTGTTTTTGTTATTGTTTTTGTTACTGTTATTGATATTGATATTGTTATTGTTATTGTTGTCGTTATTGTGATATTAGTATTATTGTTATCATCATCATCATCATCATCATCATCATCTTCATCATCATCATCATCATCATCACCATCATCCTCATAAGAGGAAGAAGGAAAAGAAGAAGAAGAAGAAGAAGAAGAAGAAGAAGAAGAAGAAGAAGAAGAAGAAGAAGAAGAAGAAGAAGAAGAAGAAGAAGAAGAAGAAGAGCCCAACAAATACATACAATGTGCTTGTTTTGACTTCGTCTCAATTAGAGAAGGGTTACATAAAAAGCATTCATTTATCTGCTTGAAATGCTCTAAACCCTTACAATGTCGATGTAATTTCATACTACAATCTTAGTTCACTCCAGTCCAAAGCCGATAGAATTAGTAAAAGACCTGAATTAAAGAGGACAAATGAATTACGACGACGTGGGCGACAACGACGACAACGATGATGATGATGATGATGATGATGATGATGATGATGATGATGATGATGATGATGACAACGACGATGAATACACCGACAACAGCAACAAAAACAAAAACAAAATCAACAGCAAAAACAACAATAGCAGCAAAAATGAGTTATATTTACTCACTAATTTTCTCTTATCCTCCCCTCCCCCGCAGATTCCCTCTCAGGCAGTGCTTCCAATCTGTCCTCCGGACTTTTGGTCGACTGGGTCAAGGAGATGCAGAAGGTCAAGGCCCCGGAGGAGGAATCGGAAGACTTGCTGAACCGCGACTCGGTGCAGCTGGATATTGGTCAGTACATGATGCAAGTGCACACCCTTAGAATACCCAGGCGGGGGGTAGGGGCTCTCAGGGTCTAGATAGAGGTTACGGTGTTCAACTCTCATTCAATAGGTCCCGGGTTCGAAACCTGAAAGGGAATGAAATTTTGCTCTTCTTAAATTTTCTCTTTTCACCTCCTTTCCTGTTCTCTATGTCCTGTCGTCTGCTTTCGTCTCCACTGTCTACCCTCCCTCCCCTTTGCCCCCTCCTCTTGTCTCCTGACACTTTCTGCAGCCTTTCTACTCCTTCTCCTTGGCACCTCTTTACTGTTGTCTTTCTGTCACGCCCCTGATCTTATGGTAGGTAACGTCTATTACCTAGCCTTCTCGGATAAGGGTGAAAAATCTTGGAGCTGCCGTGTGCAAGTTGCGCATGCTAAAGATTCCATGGTGATCCAAAATTCGATGAGAGTAGGCTTCGGTCGCCACCCGGGCAACATTCAGAATTAATTTCTACCAAACTGAAAAATGTTTAGTGTGTCCCGCGCGCTCATATGACTTTATGCAGTTGCAAGCGCCGTAAACCCCTTACAATAACAAACAAGAATGCCAGGGTTCTAACTCCACTTTTTGCGAGACCGAGTTGCACACAGTCATAAAGCAAGACCAACGAGCCATATTTTAAAAAGTGCGGCTTTATTAATTAAACAAAAAAACCCGTCTTACTCGTTCGAACAGTAGATCTAGACAGTGACTGACGATAATAGACACTGACTGGCGCTAATGCTCAAAGATGAACGAACACCTGGACACAACTCAGCAACACGACACATTGAGCGACACTAACAAACGCTGTGATAGGCGAGACAACAAGTGAATAGAGATGTAACAAGATATATATTATATCGCACTGACTTCACATTACTGACACATATGTTTTTCACACAGTGTCACTGTCAAAGCCTTCATACAATCTAAACTGTATTCATTTTAGTTTGGTGCTTTATAAAAGAGGCGTTTTAGCTGTAAGAGTGTGTATTTTTTAATTCCATCGTATCAAAACTATGCGTTGCCATGGAGTTAGAGCTCTTTCATTCTAAGGGCGCTAGTGAACAAAAAAGAATGCGCGTGTAAATTTTACTGTATTGTCAAGAGCCTGCGTTTGTCTTCGATGTAAGTCTATGCTTTATTAGTGCATTCTTGTACCTCTGTTGCTGATTGATGTTTTTATTATAAATAAAACATCCACAACCAATATAGGGATCAAAGGGGAATGACTGAGAGAAGAAGGTCGGTCGGCGTGTATGGATGAGTGTCCATGTGTGCGTGTATGTGGTGGTGGAAGGGAGGGGGGGTGTTTGATGATTATAGGCATAGTAAAAAAAAAGGTTGCAATGGAAATATGAAGGGGGAAGAGGTACGACCAGATTCGAAAAATGACACTTGACCATGATGACATGCTGTCAAAACAAGAATAATGAATATTTGAAGCATAAACCCAACTTTGAGTACTTTTGCACATGGCAAATTTTACGGCAATCATAAACTGCTGATGAATATTTCATAACTATATTATTATCATATTTAACCCTCCGGCGCCCTCAATACATACCTGAAAAGTAATCTAACTTTACACTTCTGTCCTCAGAAGCGGGAGACGATGAGGCAGACAAGACAGCGGAGAGAGAGAAAGAAAAATGGAAACGCTTGCGCTCCAGAAAAACGATGAGGAAATCCAAAAAAGCAAGAACTGTACCCAAAACCCTGGACGACCAGTTCACCAAGGTAGGTAGACAGTAATATTCCATGTGAACTTGATTAAATAAGTGATTATCTGAGTATGCTATTGCAGCCTGCGAACAGGGAAAAGTAAGATTTGATAAAGATCCTGTCACAAAGCCTGTTGGTGAAGTTTAGTATATTATTATTAGAGCCACCAAGATTTTCCGTGGGGAAAGTGATGCCATTTGAGTAGGAGTGGGGTCTAAGCTTTTTTGTCTTCTTTTTCAGAACGTTCCCACCTCAGATCGCATTTTGACAATAAACATGTTTTGTGTTGCTTTTGATTGTTAGGTTCACCAGCTGCAGTATGCACCTTTTGAAATGCAATGCCATATCTTTAAGATAGAATTACAATGCCACATAAGTCGAACACAGCACAGTTTGATCCTGACAGACTTGATCAAAGCACTGGACCTCAGTCATAATTGTTCTAGAGTGTGTCAACAGGGTTTTAAACACTAACAGCTATTATTATTACTGGCAGATGAACCCGTTCTACGAACGGAAATAAGAAAACGATCCTAAACAAGCAACAGAGAAATGTTGGAAGAAGCATTAGGTAAAAGATAGAAGACTAAGAAATTAAAGGACAGGCTTTACGGGTTTCGATAACTAACTAAGGTATTGAGCGGCCGAATTCGTCCGCCTCGCAGTCAAGTGGTTGAGGTATTAGATCTAGCCTAGATCTATCATCTAAGAATAAGATCTACAGAAACAAAAACTTTTGACTTACTTTACTTAAGATATTAGATCTTTTTTAAAAAAATGATCTTACGATCCTGATAGGGGTAAATCCAGATCTAGCCTTAATTTACTCGATAACTAAGGTATTGAGCAGCCGAATTCATCTAAGAATAAGATCTACCGAAGCAAAATATGATTCAGATTTACTTTACTTAAGATATTATTAAATGATTTTACGATCCTGATAAAGGTAGATCTAACCTTACTTTACCATGCCAACTAGCAATAATAAGCCAAACGTCACCCGACAGAAGCAGTCGAAACAAAGGTGAAATGCTCTTTTAGGTTTCGGTTTCTTTGAATTAATAATTTTTCAGTTTTTGGTTATTTGCAGCAAAATGGCAGGTTCCCCCCCCCTCAAAAAATTTTTTTTTTTTTTTAAATCAAACTATCTCATGCAAATCCTCTCCTAAATTTACATCTGCATAGAAAAGTTCACAACTTTCTGTTGTGCGGTTTAGGAATCTATATGATCCAAATATTTTGGGCCACGCTCCATTATGATATGATGTGAGCAATGTAATTGATGGCAGAAAGTATCAGGATCGGAAACATCCCTTTCAAGAAGAATTTTGTCCTCGGCTGTGTTGTCTTGATCTAATTTTCCTGTTAACTTAAGTAATGATCCGAACGGAGTTTTACGTAGAAGTTATAATCGTTTTCGTCAAGGAGAGGAAATGACAAAATGTCAGGGTAAAATTTGTATCAACAAGTTGGAACAAAGTAAATCTGAAACAATGCTTTCTCCTCAGGTCTTCACAAAGTTCGCCGACGAGTCCATCTCTCGCATGCATCCTAACAGCGGCTCCATACACAACGGACCCGCCGGAGGCCCCAAGCGCAGAGCCTTCTCTGACGGCGACAACGAAGACCCCGTGGAAGCCATCTCGAAAGTGGCGGCAACCAATGACGACTTCCGGAAGACAATCGCCCGGAAGGCGACCATCTTGAAAAAGGGTGTCAGTTTCTCCCACGCCGGGACTGGCGTGACAAGACGACGCAGGACCGAGGTGGACAGGTCCAAAAGTAGTCCCAAACGGGTGTCACACGTTAGCATTAGGCGAGAGAGCAGTAGCATCGAAGAGGAGGATGACGACAAGACAGAGGATTCAGCCTTGTGAGCGGTACGATTTTGTGCAAGCTAGAGGTTTTAGTGAAGTATTTTTCCGAACAAACAAAAAAAAAGAAAAAGAATAATTAAAATTGGAGGCAGCGAAGTGATTTTTAGCACTTAAAGCACAGCAAAATAAAAGTACAAATTGAATATTACATTATCACTATCTACCTCTCAGACATAAATCGATACAAACAAAAAAACCCATTCGAGAATCTTTCACATATTCTTGGCGACAACAAAGTTATAATAAGGTTAACTACTTTCTCCAGCAAAAGTCAGTATACTATTGACAGTTCTAGGGAAACAAAAGTCTAATGAAACAACAACAAAAAATAAGCTGGCTTAAGTTATACAGCAGACCAAAACGAAAAGTAAAGAATCGGAAATTTAGGAGAGAAATCTTTTATTCTCTAAAGAATCTATTTTCCCCCAAAGCTGCATCCCTTTAATTGCATTTTCTGAATTGTTGTCTGATACAGTTGGATGCCAGAGAAGAAAGATAAACATTCTTGTCTCTTCGAAATGTCGGAACCTTTTCCAGTTCAAAGAATGGACAAAACGGAAGTTCAGCGCAATGTCAAGTCAGTCGACTGTACCGCTCTTTAACAATGGCTGGATCCTTCTGCTGCTCTCTTCGCTTTGTGTCCCGCCATGTGACAGGAGGGAAGACATATGTCATGTCATCACCTCAACCTTCCATTTCACACTTCAAACCTGAACGATGGGTGGTTTGCTGGTGCTCCGATGTGGTTTGCTCCTTCTTTCCTATCAAACATCTGTCATCTTTATGTCCCCTTCTTCTTTTTTGTGTTTGTTACTCCCTTGTAACACCTTTAATCTTCGGCACTCATATGACCTTATTGTGTTGCAAGTGCCGTAAAACTCGTACAAAAAAAACCTGAACGGGAAACCAGCAGGTGATCTCAGCTTACATTCGAATGAAAAAGCGATGGGTTAGTCGTTTGACGATACAATTCGAAACAATGTTTGTTCTGTGAAATGTTTTTAACACTACAAACTTCTGTAACCAGTGATGTGCGTTTACACTTTAAGTTTTGTATTTTTAATCCCTCCTTGATCTATGCCAGAAAAACTGGTCAGAATCGATAACATTCTTTAAAATCAAGCCCTGATGCTTGTTATCGGTTCATTGATAAATGTTACGTTTTTTAAAACATTTAAGTGCTTTGACATTGGCAGCTAGGTGCAGGTCACCTATCATACAATCAAATGGTTTACCGTAGAATCCACAATTCCTTCCTGTTGTTAGTTTTACTTTAGTTCTGTGAACAAACAATCGTTTTGTTTTGATCATGATCATCTTTTCAATGGTACATTTTTTCAAAATATTTAATAGTGCTGTATACATTTCTATCTTCAGTTATAATAGACCAAAGACAATGTAAGAATTCCTTAAAATTCGATGAAAGAAACAAAAATCCATGCAACTTTTTAGGGGGTCAGAATTGAACCGGAATATCCGGAGTACAAGTCAAATTCTTTAGTCAGAGTCTTATTCCAGGTCATTCATAGATATGGTTTTCTGTTTCAAGCAGTCATACTGTTGAATTCTTCTTAACTCCATTGTTGTAGGAGAGCAAAGACTTAGATTACCACCATGGCAAATATTCGAAGCAAGTTTACCCGAATTCCATTATCAAGTTTGAGAATAATATAATCTATAGAAAAGAAGAGATCATAATCCTCAAAACGGGAATATAAGATGGAACAAACAGCTGAAAGACATGACTCGAATTAATTTTACACACACCCAAACACACACATGGCCGTGAACACACATAGTGCTCTGACACTGATGTATGTGTGGTTGCAACACTGGGAATACGTGTCTGGGTATATGTGCGTCCGTGTACTCTGTGTGTGCGTGTGCGTGTGCGTGTGCGTGTGCGTGTGCGTGTGTGTGTGTGTGTGTGTGTGTGTGTGTGTGTGTGTGTGCCTGTGTGTCTGTGTGTCTGTGTGTCTGATAGGCTCCAATTACACAGGATAAGCCAAACCGTGTTTACCTGTGCCTAACCGTACCGTCTCTCTCCGGGCGGTATGTACCGGTATGTTCTGTCCCTCTGTCCTGCGGCTTGACGGCTCTTGCTGTGTGAATGTATAATTTGTCATCATAGCCCCGGCACGGTATGGCTTGAGTGGAAATGATCAGTGTTCATTTCCGCACAAGCCATGCAGGGGACATAGATCTGCCAATACCAATCTAGCAATGAATCCTGTCGTGTTGGGTTTGTGGAAAAAACGACGGGATAGCAAAATAGATAGGAAACAAGGAGGATGTGAGTGCTTTCAATTTATTTGAACAGGCAACAAGTTGGCGAGTATCATACGATCTTTGAAAATATAAAGAATGATGATGAAACATTCTTTAATTATACCAGAATGACACTTGGATCGTTCGAGGAGCTGCTTTCTCTTTTGACGATCCTTTATCAATGTCTTCTTCAACTGGAGGCGAGAGAGACGAACGTTCACTTGAATCATCCATTTTAACACAGAGCCTGTTATTCCAGGAAAAGAGGAAAGGGCGGTGTGTTCATTTCCCGTCAAGCCACCTTGAGACCGTGTCCTGTGTGGTATAATTGGCCTACATCCTTCGGGTGTCCCCGTGACGCCTTTAAGACAATTAGCCTCCATTTCAAACATTCACTATGTTTTATTTGTAACCATTTCCGTCAGTGCTCCTCGTCACAGCTTGCCTTATCCTGTGTAATTGGGGCCTTAGTGTGTTTGTGTAAATATGAGTGCGTCTACTTGAGTGTAAATCGTTGAAAGATTTAGTCTTCATGCTGTAGCATTGGGAAAGACAGCACGCAATGAGCTCGAGATTTATACGGAAGGCATTTCAAAGGTATAAAGCTCTAATTTCGAATCATTACGAATAAATGACAATATATTAGAACAAATCATTTTATCCCTTTTGAAAATGTTCCTGTAATCATTTCAACATTCCGGGATCGTGGTTTTTTGTTGTTGTTGTTGTTGTTGTTTTTTGCTTTTGTTTTGTTTAGTTTTATTTTGTTGTCTTGTTGTTGTTGGTTTTTTTTGGTTGATTTTTTTTCGGGGGTGGGGGGGGGGGGGGGGGAGAGGGAGAGGCATCTCCTTTATTCATTTAAATGCACTTTAAATATTATACTTTGTATCACTATTACAGTTTCGTATTTTACTGTTTTTTATACTGAAGGACACGGTTCAATTTATTTTATATAATCTTCCAATATCCGTTGTCTAGAACGAAAGCATTTAATTCATTGATATAATTGCCATCATCATCCTTGTCTTTAAACATTTCGGTACGCTGGAAGTACGAAGTTCTATCTGCTCAGTACTTACTTTTGAAAAATCTTGAGTTTCCCAACACGTCAAGCTTTTTAGAATGCATCTCTTCTAAAATCTTGATAAAGACTACGAACAACCTTATAATTTTGAAAGAGCAGATAGAACATTTGGTTCTTGACCTCTTGGTCTTCTTAACTCAAAACGGCCAGAAACGTCAGATAGAACTTCTGTAATTCTCATGTAGCGATTTAGCATCGCTTTGGACAATCGAATTCCCACCCACATTTTTGCCACTTTTATATTAATCCCATAGCATATTATTTCCTCTCCAAACCGATCTATTTCTTTTTTACATCGTTAATGATGCCAAATTAGCTGCTGTGATAATCTATTCCAAATGTATCTTTTTGTACCTTTTATAAACGCTTGCAGATAATATGTTGATTAGTGCCTGTCTTACTAATTGTGCCAGCCTAATACGATGTAAAAATGACAACAGGTACTCAAAGGAAATAATATTGTTAATTTAGAAATATAATGTGTTAATTATTGTAATGTTCCTTGTCGCATATAAACAAATAAATTGCTTGTTATAATAATATAACAGAAACGTGATTCCTTTTTATACGAAATATAGTATAAGGTTGTTGTTATAGCTTGTTGAATTTGGCATGTTCACGGATAAAGCTGAGCAAAACTAAGGCCCCGTGTCCACCAAACCAGAAACCGACCGACCATTTGTCGTCCGTCTCTCGAGAAGTCGGTTGTTGAAAAGGAGCACCTGTTTTTACCTCAGAAATCAGTGACAATTTCATTTGGTTATGTCTACCAATACGGCATGATATCTCCCTCTAAAAGTTGTGTCGGATGGAATGCTGCTTGCTTCATTTTAGTCGGACCGTGTGGTCACTCATCAGCCTAAGACCTAGCCATGGCTTTAATTTAAAAATATCAAAATTTTAATTCGGATTAAAAATCTAATCATGGCTTCAAAATTAGCAAAGTCGTCCCGTTAACAGCGTGATTTAAATGCATTTTAACAATTTTACTCATCTTTTAAAAGAGCTATTTATTTATTATTCCTGTCTTGCGTCCATTAACCTCTTGACTATCTATAACCCGAGAACAACAAATGTCACAGAAACGTCAGAGCTACTTACATGTCGGTGGACTCACACGTCGGACACGAACAGAGCCTTGTGGCTTGGCTTTCGGACTCAGAACCGTAAGGTCACAGTTTCGAATTCCACCAGTTGTGTCTTTGGGAGCGGTATTTGCACGAATATTCCTCAATTCACCAAGGTGGAAATGAGTACTTGGCCTTCGACAGTGAACGATCGTGTCAGATTTACAGTGTTTGAGAGCGTGAAATCCGCAGCTTGCACTGTATGCTTCCGTGGAAGCCGAGAATGTTTATGAGTTTTCTCAGCAGGTCTGCTGGGGTAATAATAATATAAATCGCATAGAGCATGCTCTAGAGCATGAATATATTCTTCTTCTTCTTCTTCTTCTTCTTCTTCTTCTTCTTCTTCTTCTCCTTCTCCTTCTCCTTCTCCTTCTCCTTCTCCTTCTCCTTCTTCTTCTTCTTCTTCTTCTTCTTCTTCTTCTTCTTCTTCTTCTTCTTCTTCTTCTCATTATTATTATTATTATTATTATTATTATTATTATTATTATTATTATTATTATTAACAGACCTAACTAGATTCTACCTCCTCCTGACAGTAAAAAATAGGGTCTTTTCTGCTCTTGGGGACAAGTGGCTTAAATCGCTCGGTTAAAATCCCATTAGGGCTTTTCAACAGGATCTAAAAGTTGGATGACCAGCAGAATCTA